AGAGGTCGATCCCGGCCTCGGTGTTGCGGTCCCCGAGCCGGTACCGACCCCTCGGCGAGCCCGAAGCGGAGGGACGAGGGGCTGAGGCGTGCCGGCGCGCGCGTGTGTGTGGTGGTGGTGGTGGGGGGGGAGCCGCGCGCGCCTCCGCGTAACGGTCGTTGGGCAACGGGCGCAACGGAGGGCGGTTAAAAACCGTTGGGCGCCGCTCCTCAAGGTCGCCCTATGGGAAGGGAAGGGGGGAGCCGAGTCCTGCATTGCTCCCCGGTGAGCGCTGGGTGCGTTTCTTTACCTTTTTACATCAGTTTCGGGTGGGTTTTTTTGTTTTGTTGGGGTTTTTTTTTGTTTGTTTGGGTTTTTTTTTTTGTTGTTTGGTTTGGTTTATTTTTTCCTGAGGAAGGGGGTGGTCAGGTTTTAGGCGCCGGTAGTGAGAGTGATCCCCTTTTGCCAGAGCCAATTTCTGTAAATATTTGTTTGGGGATGGATTTGCTGCCAGTACCTGGCTTCCGTTAACAGCAGCTACTTCGCAGGATGGTGTGGTTTCAGGATGGGTGATTATTCCGTGCAATAGAAAACAAAATGGTACTGGGGATTTTTTTTTCTTTTTTGAAAGGAAATCTAATGAAAAGAAAAAGAAAATCCTGAAATTCAGTTGCACGTGTCTCTGTAAGTAGGAGGAAACCATTCTTCTAGTTAATCAGGCAGGCAGTGGTAGGAAATTTGCTTGAAGATGCCAAGTCCAAGGGTGTAGTGGCTAAACAGAGACCTGGAACTAAAGGGGCTCATTCCTACTTAGAAAATTTGCTAGAGTCATTTAGCCTTGACTAAGGAAGGATTTGTCTGGAAGAAGGCGCTCATGAAATGATGTGAGCTGTGACTGGTCAGGAAAATGTCTACTGTCCAAACAGCAGTAAATATTGCAAATGAATGGTCCGTCCACAAATGGTTAACCCACAGTGACATGAACTTCCAGACAGACATCAAGATCACCAGAAGAGGCTACAAAAGGAGGCAGGAAGCTAGAGCTTGTGTGTGGCAGTATGATGTCTGTGTGCATATCAATGCATGTGTATAAGGATGTATCTTTGCAAGATGCGTTATTTAAAAACACTCCGGTGTGACTGCTCCACTGTTTAAATAGCAGTATTCTCATTCATGTGTTTACTTACTCTGATTTAAATAGTTTGTTTCTCTTACAGTGTAGACACCAACATTGTCGAGTTGCTAAAGCATCTAGGACATTCTGGATAAGAGGTTTTCCTTTAGTGCTAGTGGATTTATGATTATATTTTTCTAATTGTATGTGTCCATGGACTTTCCCTTCAGTTTTGGCTCTAAGTGCTTTGGTACACACTGTAAGCAATTATTGGCATTGATTGCCTGGGCAAGGCAATTGCCCAGTTGATGGATGGGAGACAGCCAGTTGGGCTTGAAACTAACTTTCACCACCTACAGCTACTTACAGGGGCCCACCTACGGATTTCAGAATAGTATTTTTAGGTAATCACTCTGAGCTCTCTAAGCAGTCATTATAGGTCTTGTAATTAAATGATTACTATTACTTAGACTTTTTTTACTTTTTAGTATGAATAGTTGCATGTCCATTCCATTTGGAGGGGTCAGTTTCCTGATACTCCACGCTTTCTCTTGTTTTGCGTCGTCTTTCTTGCTGCTTTGATAAATAAAACTAAAATAACAACAAGATCCCCTAGCACCTGGCTGCCAGGCCACTGAGCTCAGCCAAAGATACTTCCCTTTTCTCTGTATTGCTTTGTCGCTAGACATTTTTTGTGTGCTTGCTGTGAATATGTCACCTGCACCTGCACTTTTACTTTAAGTACGTGATTCATATGTACAATTTAACTAAAAAAAAATATGTATTTTTTATACTTTTCTTTCTAAACATTTTAAAATAAAACAAATTGATTAAGTAATTTGAAGATTTACTTGTCAAAGGTGTGGTTCTACAGCTGATGGCAGATCATAGTTACTTCCAGCATTTTGAAATAAGCATAAAGAGGCTCTATAACACTATGCAGTTCATGGGTAACTTTTCACACTTTTTTGTAGAGACGGACATAAGTATTCAAGAATCAGTCAGGTCTTTCGAGCCATTTTTAGTTACTCTTTATTAATTGTTGTCTTATTCTGTATCTTTTCCTCCAGAGGGCAGTAACTACACAAATGTAGAATGAAAAAAAAAAAGTATCGGCAAGGAGTATTTTAAAGGGAAAAGTAAATTGCTTCATAGTCTGGTGCTAGGAATGACCCATGGATCCTACTACAGCAAGGGGCGTTGCATGAACATGCTCACCATGTTGGTTTTAGGAATCCTGAAGTCTATACAGCTAGGAGGGTGTTTTCTTGTTTCCACTTCTGTTCTTTATTGGGACTGTCATTTGCCACTTCTTTTCCTTCACCTCTGAGCACTTGTTGGCTGAGATGGGACAGCAAAGCAAGTGGCTTCTACTGAAGAATTTCTAGAGCAGAATAAAGAGAAGCCCTGTCTTTGTGGATCAAGTGACAGATACTTAAAAGAAAAAAGTGACAGATCTTCTGAGTGAGCCAACATATTTGTGTTAAGAGCTGCTGCACAAATGGGGCTCACAGGAACGAACAATCCTACTCTGTAGCATTGAATCATGAGGGGTAAGTTTTTCCACCCACAAAATAGGTTTTACATTTCATAACTCCCCCCTGCCCTGATTTATCTTAACTTTAATGGCTATCAAAGAAGATATTACTTTAACTGTTAAATTAACATTTAGTTTGCACCATGGTATTACTCTGCCTTTAGAAGCAGACCTTTCTTTCAAAGGCTACACAGTGTTAGCTTAACGTGAATTAAGCTTCACAAATCATCTTGCTGTACAAGTGGGTAGAAAGAAGAAAAGAGATCGGAGTTTGTTGTGCAAAACCACAGGGGAAGGCATGAGCAGAGCTGGGATGAGGGTTAATGTAGCAGGCATGCTGTACTTCCTGGCCTTCCAAGGAAACAGCAATCCCTTAGAAATAAGTAGAACAGGATGAAATGGCCACACTAAAGCAAGGGGATAAATGCTATAAAGGTTTTTGCATGATGGGAGCATTTCTAGAAAGCAAACAAAGTAAAACAAACCCTGCTTGCATCTCCATGGGCAGCCTATCCCACTAACACCTTTGGGACTGAGCCAAGTCACATCCCAGAGAAGAAACGAAAGTCTGGACATGGCAGCTCCACTCAGCAGCTTCACATGGCTGCTCTGGGGCTGTCTTGCACCCATTTTAGTACAGCACTTTGCTTAGTAATGCCTCATTGCCATGCAAAATACATTTGTGAGCTTGATTCAATAGCAACTTCTGGAAGGCCTATGTTGAGGCAGCAAGTTTAACGACTCAGATAATGGCAGCAAGCCTCCCACTGTAGAATAATTTTCTTGGATACTGCTTCTGGTCACTGTTGAGACCCTGTGTTGGAGTTTGGGGGCAGAAACTCCCTGGGACTTGGCCCCATATAAACAAGAATAGATAAAGTGTACTGAGGAAATGTGAAGCGTATTCTGTCCTAGAGGTAGGTAGCTAAGAGGCCTCCCTGTTCACACATCCAGCAGTGTGGTACTATTAAAAAGACATATAATCATTGGATATGAACCAGATCACTTACCCTTCCCTCCTGCAAAGCTACTTTGTGAAATACAACCTCCATTTACAATGGAAATGTATGACACTTGTACTTTCAGTTCTTATTTCTTAATACTGTGAGACATAATACAGTTGTCTTTGTGTGATATACTGTGTCCTTTACTCCCTTGCATTCCTTCCCAGGTAAGGTTGTCAGAAGTTTATGGAATAGGAGCTAGTCCAAATTGCAGTGTCAAATCCCAGGCACTTCATTAAGAGCGTATGAAACCTCACTTCTCTTTGTCTCTCCTCTTGCCATTAGGGTTTCGGATCTTCCACAAACAATTGCAAAGCTGCTGAGAATCTCTCTCTGCAGCATGAGTTTGAGATGTCCTGCAGTGTTGTTTTCCTAAGCCTTTACAGCATGAGATCCTGCCTTAGACCAGTGCTGGGCAGCTAGATGACGGCACGCACAGTAGCTGTAGCAGAAACGTGCTCTGCACTCACTGTGCCCTTCTGCTACCCTGAAAGGATAGTCACCTGTCTCCCATTTCTTCTCTCTTAGCTCTAATGGATGCCTGGTATTCCAGGGTGAAAACACACACCAATAGCTCTGCAGCTGTTTTTTCTTTGAAGCTGCCCAGCAAAGTGATTCCTGGGACAAGGAGATATCCTCCAACTGCCCATTTTCTCTCTTCATCTGTACTAAGCAATGATGGAGCTTGTGCATTTCATCTTCATAACTGCCACCCCACTTTTACCATGGTTTATCCTACACTCTCCTATTGGTTCTATGTTCTCTGGCCCCAGTTTAATGCCCTGAGGTATTGCATAAATAATAGCAAATACTCCGCTGTCGAACTGGTAACGCTATTTAAACAGCAACAACAGTTCTTCAGTTTTCCTTGCTCTCTGCTGCAGTGCTAGAAGTAATGCATTAAAAATACCACATATCCCACGAGAACACTGAGATACCGTTTTCTAGAAAATAAAGGCTTTAAAAAACAGATTCCACATTAATTGAGCAGGGTGAAGAGATTAAAAAAGAGAAAGGAGTTTTCCCAAGTGCTGGGAATTTTTCAAAAAAGGGGAAGAGGACAAAATTGGATGCAAAGCCAAAGTTGCTATAAAAAGAATAACAGTGAAAATTTATTGTAGCCTTCCATTGGGTCATCGACGTTCTAACGCATATGTCCAGGAATAACTGTCACAATGAATCGGTAGGGCACGGATAAGTAGTTGTCCAGCCCCATTAGGCTAATTTCAGTGGTTACAAGTTATCTTAATAACTATACATAATTTATTGGTAAAGATCGCAAGGGTGACAGTGGCCGAATATGTGGAACTCTGAGACAATGAATCAAGCTCTCCTGGCTGTCAGCTACAGTGAAAAGTTTAATACTGTTTATTTACCAGATTTAAGGGGATAATTTCCAGATGAATTGGTACGTCTGTACTGGTCTGGAAACTGTGCATTAAACACTGATACTTTATCACAACCTGCCCCCTTTTAGCTTCCTCATGGTTTGGGAGGGACTCTGGCTCAATCCCCTTTGGAATCAGTATAATATGATTCAACAGGGGTAGAGGTGAGGCAGCCTAAGAAAGACTAAAGGAATCAATTTGTGATTAATTTCGAAAAGGTATTAAATGAGAGACCGAGAGACACAGGCACTATCAATAAACCACAATATAAGAAAAGTTTTATAGATTTTATATTTAGATATTAAAGCTTTACAGAGTCATATGATTAAAAGAGATACAAGCTTTTGAGGAATACCTTTGGTATATAATTTTTCCTTCTGCATTTAGTCAGTCATGAGCATTATCTACAGTAGGGTTATGACACAAAAAATAACATGTTAATAAAGTGACCGGAGAGATTTAAGAGTTACATAAAAACTCCATGCTGGCTGTGTTTGTTTGAAGTTTATCCTGTCATATTTCACCCATGTAGTTTTTTTTAAACTATATGTCATGATTCTTTGGTAGCAAATAAAAAGAAGAGTAGTAGTATACAAAAAAGGAGAAGTACATGGATAATTCATTAATACTTCAGATGGAGAAAATGGCTCATTTTATTAAAAAAGGAAAACCTCAATTTATTATGAAATAATATTTATTTACAGGTATTTTACATTTTTAGAAAATAATACAATTGTACTTTAAAATGCTTCATTTATTTTTATTACTTATCTGCTTGTACAAAAGAAGCAAAGACACTGTCTTCTTGTTCTAGCAGAACCTCAGGCTTGTCATATTCCAAAATAACCCCTCTCTTCATTACAATAACCAAGTCTGCATTGAGGATTGTGTGCACACGGTGCTGAAAAACAAATAAACACAATGCCAGTTTAGTGTATCTATCAAATGTATTATAGGAGAAGACAGACTTCCAGAAATTCATATTCCTGACAAGTTCAAGTTTGATTAAGGCTTCTTATCCTACTTTTCATCCTAATTTACTGCACAAATACTGCAGATAAATAGACAGACCGAGAGCCACATGGATATTCAAATACCTAAATTGCACAGTGGTACCTGAGTATCAACAGTCATATGAGTTCAGCCTATGATGTCCCTAGCCCCCAGTCCTGCCACCACGTGTTGCCACAAGGAGGTGGCCAGGAAGAGTGGGAACAGGGCACCCGAGTGTGATACTGCATGTGAGTACTCTCCCAGTCCTGGACTACGTCTAGATCAGGGGGGTTCCTGAGCTTGGTGCGGTTTATCAGTTTGTAAAACTGAATAGATCTCTCTTCGAAGACCTTGCCCATGTCTTCTCTTAAGCTTTCATAAACGTTTTGCATCCGCATCCTTTGTAAAACATTTTTCCAGGCCTGCTCCCCCCACTGCATGAACAAGTACCCCCTTTGTATGCTCCAGGCCTCGCTGCTCAGAGCTGCATCTGGTGCCTCTTTCCCCTTGCCTCATGATTTTGCAGACCTCCCTCATATGTCCTTACTTTGTCCTTTTTGCAGGCAGAAGAGGCCTGGCCTACTTAGCTGCTCCTCTTAAGGAACAGTTTCACACCTCAGATTATCCTTGTGCTTCTCAGCATTTTTCAGTTGTAATGTGTCATTATGGGGATGGGAAGACTGGAACTACACACAATATTCAAGGTATGTGCTAACTATGGACTTACACAGTGGTATGATGTTTTCTTTTTTGTTCTCTACCCTTTTCCTAGTAAGCTCTAACATTTGATTATTTTATTGGGAAGAAACCTCCCCAGTTTTTTCCACAGTGACTACTGAAAATAATTAATTTAGCTTTTCTGCAATGCTGTTATCTTTCCTGAGCATTCCTTTCATGTATTGATCATCAAGTGGCTCTATAGAGTGATAGAGTTCTTGCTCCCAGTGTGTTTCAGGGATCCATTCTTAGTTTTAATGGCTTCCAGAAGCTGCTCTCATACTTTTTTTTTTTGCCTGTCTTACTGCATTTTCACATGTAACATGTCAGAACTTACGATCATTTCTGTTTTCTTTATTTGGCTATGAGTTCAGATTTTACAAGAATGATTTCTTGTTTCTAATAGTCTTTTTTATTTGTTTAGTCATACCAGCTTCTTTCTATCCTTACTCAAGCCTTTCCTAATAAATAGCATGCACTGGCTCTAGGATTTTTTAATAAAATCCTTTAGTAATTTCCATGATCCCTATAGATTCAATTTTCTTTGCTTCCTCTTTTAGCTTTTTCTTTTTTCCCCCCATTTATTTTTGGGTTTTGTTTTTAGCAAGCCTCCTCATTTTTACAGAATTCCACTTCTTAAATTTTAGTGTAACTGCATTGAATTTCTTGGGTCTGCATTAGTCCTGCAGGGATATTTAATCTTGGAATACTGTGGTCCCTGTTACACAGTCACTCTTCACCCATACGGTTCCCAATCAGATCTTAGGCACCCTCAGTGCCAAAACAACTCTTGTATTTCCTTCTGTGGCTTCCTAGCCAGATGTTCAATGAAATAATCACTGATAGCATCTACAAATATCTCTGCTGCAGTCCTCCTGTGACATTTTTCCAGTCCACAGGCAGGGAGAGGGGACTGAAATGTCACATTCCAGTTGTACTTGCTGCCCTTGTTGTCTGATCTCTTTCAGTATAACACAATCAGTGCTGCCATCCTGGTAAAGTAATATAGATGATAATATAGACCCAATACTATCCTATTCTTATTCTTCCTAACCACAAATGAGGAATATATATGGGCTTTCTCTGAAAAAAACTCAAAACCCCAACAAGCCAAAACACCCAAACCACTACCCACCCCCAACCCATATTATGTTTCTATTACAGAGTGTTTTGAATAGAAACCCACCTGCTGTAAACCACATTTACATTTGGAAGTAAAAACATTCAAAGTAAGTTCATTCCAAAATGCTGTTTAAACTGTGCAGTTTAAAACTCACTATCAGAGTGAAAGACTAATAAAACTTTCTCAGCCTACCCCCCAAAAACTGAAAAAAGACACATAAATGCAAAATGCAGTGCAACTCAGAGTTTTCGTGCAGAGAAATCAGGAAATGTCATGCTTATGTTTCCTTTGCTATTTTTATAACAACACACTGAATGGATATGCTAAGATAAATCAGGTTTTCTATTACACATTTGCTATGTGAAAATAGGAAGATGCTATAAGATTCCTGAGCATAGATTTGACTTGTGTTTAATTTTTAAATGTTAAGAAGCATAACGACTTTATTTCACATCCCTGAAATACGTGTATTTTTAGAAAACAGGACTGAAAGATATATATTGCTTCTGACATATCTGTTGAGCCAACTGCTTTGATTCAGGTCAAATCTCTTCCATAAACAATTTTTTTATAGATACTTGAGATCTTTGTATAATCACTTCAAGAATATGCAAACAAATTCAATCACTGTCAACAGCGACGGAACGTTTATTTTTAAAAGTTAGTACGAGTCTCACTTATTTGTTTAAATTCTGAAACATAATTGCTTTATCCAGTGGCAGAACTATCACACAATTTTACTTCTCCTTTGTTAAATGATTGCTGTAGCATGATGAAACTTATTCTTAGATTTCACAGTAGTCAAAGTCATGTTTTATTTTGAATTAGCCTAAAATGGGTAACACAAAATAGGCTGCATACTTAGATTACATGCTTTTACAGGCAATCAGATTTAGCATCACGCAAACATTTAAGAAGCTGTTGTTATATATTTAAATAAGAAAGTACTTTAAAATTGGAAAGAAAGCTTACACTTTAAAACAGCATTAAAAAAAGATAAATGGCCACATTCACGCATTTATTAACATTGACAAGAATTGACTGATGTGGCATTTCTGATTCCTGTTTGCATTAGAATGGCAGCAGAGACTGTACTTACTGCTATTGTAACCACAGTACGGTCAGCAAACGCTGTCATGACTACCTTCTGGAGTATGTTCTCCTATGTAAAGAAAAACATTTGTTGCTTTTCAAACAACAGAAGTTAACATGATAGACACACAGACACTAAGACGACTGAAGTAACCACTGATTATTCCATGCTTTTATTGATTCTTCGTTGCAGAAACGAAAAGTTAACTGCATGTCAGAATGCTTTTATTGATTCTTCGTTGCAGAAATGAAGTTAACTGCATGTCAGAACTAAGTCAGAGCCTGATCTCCAGTTAAACAGCCCTGCTCGCTCCTGCCACCCCCACTGCCTCTGGGCTTCAGCGCATACACAAGCTGTGCTCTGGTCCCCAAACCCCTGCTATCCTGACCTCAGTTTTACAGTGAGGAAATCAAAGGTGAATCCAGGGTCCTGCCAGGCTGCCCACATGCTGGCGCCTCTGCGGTGCATTCTTCACCCTGCTGGAAGCCCAGGAATGTCCCAGCACGCTGGGGACATCTAACACCTAGGGGTGGCAGGGATAAGCAAAGGAGTGTGCTGTACCTGGCATATTTAACAGTGGAGATGATATTTAAGATGGTCTTAACATACATAGTTCTCACTCAGCAAGTACTCATCCTTTGCTATTTAGGAAACATGTTGTTGCATACCAAACTGCCTAGAAATGTCAATAGCAAATAAAGGTGTCTATGCTACTATCTGTTCTTTAGATAAGTATCACAAGGGAGGAACTATATCCTCAATGTCTCAAAATTCAAGATGTGTTTTAACTGGGCTGCGTACAGTATAAATCCCAACGTTACTGACACCCAACACACTAATACTTTACAGAACTAAAAATTGTAGCTGTTATAATAAACCCCTCCAATTATACTCTTTACTCA